AGAGCATGAGAGGGGGGAGGGTCGGGAGGGTCAGAGGGAGAAGCAGACTCCCCGCCGAGCAGGGAGCCCGATGCGGGACTCGATCCCGGGACTCCAGGATCATGACCTGAGCCGAAGGCAGTCGCCCAACCAACTGAGCCACCCAGGCGCCCCCCCTCTTTCTGCATTTTTAAATTACTGGTGTAACTTGACTTTTTTTTTCCCCTTGAAGGGCATTTTCTTCCCGTGTGTGTGTGTGTGTGCATGTGTATGTATTGCTTCTATTAGCTGGAACTTTTCCAATTGCAAGGGACTGAAAGTCACAATTGCTTAATCAGAAAGGGAAGTCACGGCCTCACAACTGAAATGTCCAGGAAAAAAGCTACTTTAGGTGACAGGCAGAACCTGGACCTGGAACATGTCTTTTTCAAACAAGGTCTTTCTCTCTTCATCCCTACTCTTTTCTGAGTTGTTTCATTCCTAAGTTTTACAAGATGGCCCCTGGCAACTCTAGGCTTTTTATCTTTAGAATTACAAATCAAGCAGAAGGAACAGTTCATTCCTGGTCCTCCAGAATAAGTCAAGGGATCAGCTCTGATTAGACCAAAATGGGGTCCGTCTTTGAGCCAATCACTGTAGCTCAACAGATGGAATCCTGACATTGGATAGGCTTAGATCACATGACCATGATCAGAGCTAGCCTAGGGGACAGCCAGTCCTGCCTGCACCACCCCAGGAGCTGAAAAGCGAGGTGCCCCTAGCAGAAGAGATGCTGAGCAGCACCAGAGGACCGCTCTCTTCTACGACGCCCAAACATTCACTTTGCCAGTTTTATATATTGGATATTTACCCAAGAAATCCCGTAAGATTCCAAGAACTTATAAAATAAAGACATTAACTTTGTCATACGTATTTCAAGTATTTTTAAAGTTTGTTTGCTGCCAACTGCACTTATCCTTTTTTATGCAAATAAGCTTTAAGTTTTTATGTAACCAAAACAATTAATGTTTTCTGTAATGGCTTATGGCCTTGGTGTTAGGCTTAGGAAAGCGTTCCCTGCCCTGAGATATTCTGTTTGCCAATAGTTTCAGGTAATGCTTTTGACAGAAAATTTATGCTGGAATTTATGCTGGTCTGAAATGTGAAGCCTGTTTTTCCCCTGTGTATAGTCGCTCACCCCAACAGAATGCACGGAATAATCCCTTCTTTTCTCCATGTGTTGGGCCCTTAGAACCACAAGCTGAATCATTTCACACATATGCTTCAGGGCTCGTCCTTCGTGTTCATCTCCCGGACCTCTTCTGTAAGGCCCGATCTAAAACACGAACATGCTGTGGCCGCTGGCTGTTTTACCACAGCGATAGGAATGGAGCTATTTACAAGGAACTGTAAGAGTGGGAATTGAAAGAGAATGGGCAGGTGCGGCCCCATGTCTTGCACTTCTTCAAAAGGAAGGAAGCAGAAGTTCCTTTTCTCTCTCCTCCCTCCCCCTTTCCGTCGGTTAATGCCCGCCTGTTGCAGATGTCTCATGGCGATTTAAAGCACAGGAGAAAAGGAACCCAAGAAGTAGAGGTTGCTGCTCACAAGGGTCGAAGAAAACGAGTGTTTGAAAAAAGTCAAACCAAAACCCATCTTCCTAGCCACACACTCTCATCTCCCCTGTAAAAAAAGAACACAAGTCATTCTGAAAGCTGAATTAATTCTCACAACAGCAGGTTAGTGTGACTTTGTTTTGGGCTCAAGAAAATAAGGCCTGACTCCAACCCACAGGTTGCCTGTTTTTACTTCTCATATTTTCCGCTTTTACCTACATGCTTTGCAGCCAGACAGAACTGTGACAACAGGGACTCCCAGAAATAACCAGAACTTACAACAACTTTGTACCCGAGGAGAGTCAAGAGATGGACGGATGGCCTGACTTTAATGCAGCTGATGCGTCACACCGTGGCCTGGCGCAGAGACGCGCTGGGCCTGTCGTGGTCCCTGGGATGCAACTGGGGAAGCAGGACAGCAGAAGCATGGGCCATGCGTACTGACACTGAGCAGTGATGACAGGTGGAGGAGGGCTGGTTAGTGATGTACAGAAGGCACAGGATGTCCAGGATGGCCACCTGTAGACCCACGTTTTGAGAAAGCAGAAACTATGAGCCAGCAGATAGAACTATATGGTGGCACAGGATGAGCCACGCAGATGTGACATGAGAAGCAGGAACACCACGAAAAAGTCGACGGCCCCTGAAATGTCCTCAGTCCCCACTGGTTTCTGAATTCACTCCATCAGATAGCATCTCCTCTGGGCTCTGCACTGAGCAGGGACAGGGGACAGGGTAGTGACGGAGAATGAAAGGTCCTGCATCAGAGCAAACGGTGCCTTCCAGTCCACACCACAAGCGACCTTGCAATAAGGTCCTGTTTCCCAGAGAGCCCTTGAGGTGAAGGGACTGCTCACAAAACTATACTTTGTAAGACCATGTTACCTTTTGTCCACATGCCAGCTGTGTGAGTTAGGTCATGTACTTATTTATTTGAGGTGCAAAGGAGAGACTCCCACGACTACTTTCAGGAACAGGGGCATATTCCAAGTTTACACCATAAAGTGGTGAGAGTCAACTTACATCAGCTCTTTAGCGCTATCATCGTTGGGGCTTAGCACAGGGGCTAAAAACACACTGATTATATGGGCCAGGCAGAAACTCTACGAGCAAACTGGACCAGGTGCGAGGAAAAAATCAGGCTGCCCTCTCTTATTCTTTTATTTTCCTGCTTGCCATGACAGGTGGCTTTGGGCTACAAGTAACAGAAAACCCAACACAGTGGCCTGAACAGTGTAAGCTTTATGATCTTTACTCTCTGACTTCTCCCTGATTCTCCACGTGCCATCCACGTCCTGAGCTGGCTCGGCTCATGATTGTGAGGCAGTTGCCAGCAGCAGTGAGGGCTCCCGGCTCCTGAATTCATGCCCAGTTTGGAAGAGTGTATCTCCGTTACAGTCATGGAACAAGAGTCCTTTCTTTTGGCTGACTGGGCCAATTCATGTCATTTGTGCTCTGCTGGGCCCTGGGGGAATGTCCTGTCTTGAATGGTTACAGTCTGGGTTTCCACACCAGTCACTGTGAAGAGGCAGGAGAGACCAGCACTGGTTCTGAATAGTCGGATCCAGAAACAAAGATGAAGTTAGCTTTTCCTGAGCTGCATGGGTAGCTGGTGGGGAGCAAGGGGGAGGGGGGCAGCACAAATTGAGAGCAGACAGCCGAATGGAGTCCTGTTTGGAAGCACAGGAGGGTGCACACTGCACGTTCGTACAAGGCAGCGCTGTCGGACGGAACTTTCTGCAAAGGTGGGCTGTCCACCGGGGTAACCACCAGTCGCAGGAGGCTCTTGGGCACCTGAAATGTGGCTGGTGTGACTGAGGCACAGAACTTTTCGTTTTATTAAACTTGTAGTAATTTAAGTTCAAACCGCCACACGTGGCTACCGGCTAGTGCACCAGACAGCGCAAAGAGAGAAGAATTCTCTGCGCTAAGAAAATAAGACAACAGAGAGTGAGCGGGCCTTAAGTAAGCTGGAGAGTGTATGCCCCACATCAGACAGTGACTGCTACCTGGTGTCAGCAGATTAGGGCCATGGGAGAAGACAGGTGTGTTTTCATCATCCGATGCTTCCTAACAATCCTGCCCTGAACTTAGGGGTTCAAAATAACAAGTATTTCATTTGTTCACAATTCTGCCAACTGGGCTGAGGCTCAGCTGGGCAGTTTCTGCTGGTCTTGCTGTTGGTGCCTTGAGTGGCTTCCTTGGGCCGGCAGGTCGGCTGGGATGATGGGGACCTCCTCTCAACAGTTGCAGACTCTTCTTCGACACGTGGTCTCTCTGGCAAGGTGCCTGGACTTCTTCCATGGTGGTTCAGGGCTTCCAAGGCACCAAAGGAGAAGCTGCGAGGCCTTCCTAAGGCTCAGGCCCAGACCTGGCCAGGGATACTCTGCCACATTCTCAGAGTGGTTTTTACAAAACACTGCAAACAAACCAAACCATTTCTTCCTGCTGGACTGTTTTTGCAACTTCATGGTGTCAGAGACTGCAGGGTACACCCAGCTTCTTCCCCAGGACCAGGAACTGCTCAAAGTGCCTCAGGGTACATCCTGACCTCTGTAACTGCCACACCCACTTTATTCACTTAGCTCTACACTTCTCAGCTGAGATAATCCAACTGAGTTAGTCTGCGTCATCCAAGATGGCACATCTGCATTAGACAGAGCTTCCCACTAAATCATCACGTGAACCAAGTCAAATGGCTTCACTTTTACCCCCATATTTACTCTGCACTTTGCCAGAGTGTCAGTTTTATCAGTCTTTTAACAAATACTTGGAGGATCTGTCTCATGTTCCAGCCAGAATGTGGAAAATGCACTGCGTTGTACTAGGAATTGAGTAAAAACCCTTTATTTAAGACTGAGCTCTACTGCCTAGTACGTGTGTGATCCTGGACAGAAATCTTAAGTGCCTTGCCCTTCAGTTAAATTAGGATACTAATGTACACTTTAGAACATCAGGGGAGTCTCAAAAAAAAAGGAACACAAAATGCTCTTTTGGCACCATTTAAAAATCAACAAATATTCACTCATTCATTCCCACACGTATTTATCGTTGGCGGGGTTGTGCTAGTTTCCTGGAATACAGTAACGGACAAACCAAATCACAGCCCTCCCAGGTTGGAAGACAGACATTAAATCATCTCACAAAATACATAATCATTAATTAACACGGTGTTGTGAAGAGATCGAATAGGGTACCCTAAGGACACATGAACAGGGACCCGCCCTGTTCTGGGAGGAACAGAAGTGCGACCTCCGAGCTGAGGGCTGGGGACGACTGGCACCAATGGACGGCGTTCGATGATTCCCTCTTTGAATATTAAGTATTTGCTGCCTGCTGGGGGCATCAGTCCCGGGGTCGCTCACTTAGGAACATAAGGAAGTGAACACGTGCTACTTGAAGCAAGGACGCCTCATCCAGGTGACCCACCTGCAAGCCCACCGCCCAGGTAACGGCTCCATGCTTCTCTCAGCGGGCCGTGAAGACAGAGGAAGTTAGAAGCACGGGTCCCGCGCTAGTCCCCTCATTCAGCCGTGGGTCCCACGTCGGAAGCCGCGCTGGGCCAGTTCTTACGGACACTGTTCCACTCCCGCACGCGCCGGTCACTGTTGCAGGAGCTCTGGGCGCGGGGAGGAAGACGACACATTAGAACCCTGCCCCCGTGGGGCTCGGACCTGCGGGGACCAGTACCCGCCGGGGAAAGGGGCGAAGGAAGACCCAAGCCCGCGGCAGGTGCCACGGAGCCACTGCGACAGGGCCCTGGGATGGGGCGCGACCCACTTTGGACGGGACGGTCGCGAAGCGCTTCCGGGGAGTGGACGCCTGAGCGCCGAAGGGAGGCGGGAAGCCATCCGTGTGACAAGGACACAGGCTGTGGGCCTGGCTGCCGGGGCAGCGGCCCTTCGCGGGGACCACCGGGAATGCCTGCCGACAGCGTGGCTGCCAGCCCGGCGAGCGGGCGTGGAACCGGCGCCCGGCGCCCGGCGGAGGCCAGGGGTGCCGCTCGCCGTCCACCGCGCACAGGGCGGCGCACAGCCCAGAACCATCAGCCCCCGGAGTCAGCCGTGCGCCTGCAGACAGACGGCGTCCCGGGGCGCCGAGGAGCAGATCAGCCTGGAGAGCGGGCAGAGTCCGGGGCCAACAGGGGCCTACGTTTCCGCGGCGGGGGCTTGACGCTTGGGAGCGCCAGGCGCCATTGCGCGTAAACAGTGCGGCTGGGAACGCCGAGCCCCCAGCGCGCCGCTCGCGGCGGCAGCGGGGCGCACCCCCGGCCGGGCTTCCGGCCAGAACCGGAAGTCCCGCGGCTGCGGCCAATGGGGGCGCCGGGCGGGCGGGCCGAGGCGTGGCGGGCAGGTCTCGCGAGCAGGGCGGCGGCGGCGGCGGCAGCCAATAGGGGCGCGGCGGGGGCGGGCAGGCGGCGGCGGCGGCAGCCAATGGGGGCGCGGCGGGGGCGGGCAGGCGGCGGCGGCGGCAGCCAATGGGGGCGCGGCGGGGGCGGGCAGGCGGCGGCGGCGGCAGCCAATGGGGGCGCGGCGGGGGCGGGCCGAGGCGCGGCGGGCCGAGGCCGGACGGGCGCGCCTCGCGAGCAGGCGGCGGCGGCCGGCGCGGCGGACCGGGCGGCGGGCGCATGGAGGGCGCGGCGGGCGAGCGGGCGCCGCTGCTGGGCGCGCGGCGGGGCGCGTTCGCGGGCCGGCGCGCGGCGTGCGCGGCCGTGCTGCTGACGGAGCTGCTGGAGCGCGCCGCCTTCTACGGCGTCACGGCCAACCTGGTGCTGTTCCTGAACGGCGCGCCGTTCGGCTGGGAGGGCGCGCAGGCCAGCCAGGCGCTGCTGCTCTTCGTGGGCCTCGCCTACCTGGTGTCGCCGTTCGGCGGCTGGCTGGCCGACGCGCGGCTCGGCCGCGCGCGCGCCATCCTGCTCAGCCTGGCGCTCTACCTGCTCGGCATGCTGGCCTTGCCGCTGCTGGCCGCGCCCGCCACGCGCGCCGCGCTCTGCGGGGCCCCGCGCCCCACGCGCGCCCGCAACTGCTCGGCGCCGCCCGGCCCCGACGCGCCCGCCCGCTACTGCGCGCCCGCCGCGCTCGGCGCGCTGGCGCTCGTCGGCCTGGGCGTGGGCGCGGTCAAGGCCAACGTCACGCCCTTCGGCGCCGACCAGGTGGGCGCCGGGCGCGGGCCCGCGGGGGGAGGGCGCCCTGGGGAGCGGGGTCCGAGGGCCGTCCGAGGGCGCGGCGCGGGAGGGCCCCCCGGGGCACGCCAGCAACGGCCGCACCGGCCCGGGCCCGGAGGACGCGGACGCCGGTGGCCGAAGCCGCAGGCATGAGTGTTTCCAGGCGGCGCGGACCGCGCGCGCGCAGCTCCCCAAGGCTGTAGGTCGGAGACCTGTCCGAGGCGGCAACGCGGAGGTAGGCGGTAGGCGGTAGGCCGGGGCCGGGGCTGCGGCGCCCTTAGGACACTTCGAGGCGTGTTGTCAGTGGAGCAGGAAGCCTTTGCGCGTCTGGCGTGCGGGAGGTACTATGATCTGATGTCCGTTTCTTTTTTTTTTTAAGATTTTATTTATTTGAGAGAGAGCATGACAGGGAGGAGGGTCAGAGGGAGAAGCAGGCTCCCCACTGAGCAGGGTGACCGATGCGGGACTCGATCCCGGGACTCCAGGATCATGACCTCAGCCGAAGGCAGTCGCTTAACCAACGGAGCCACCCAGGCGCCCCTGTAACATCTTCTTTTTTTTTTAAAGATTTTATTTATTTATTTGGGAGAGAGAGAATGAGAAAGAGAGAGCACGAGAGGGAGGAGGGTCGGAGGGAGAAGCAGACCCCCTGCCGAGCAGGGAGCCCGATGCGGGACTCGATCCCGGGGCTCCAGGATCATGACCCGAGCCGAAGGCAGTCGCTCAACCGACTGAGCCACCCAGGCGCCCCTGATGTTCGTTTCTAAAAGGGGCTTCTGGAGCGCAGGTGTGTGCCTGGCAGCTGAGGCCCCACAGCCAAATCTGGTCCACTTCCTGTTTTTGGAGGGCCCACAAGCTAAGAATGACAATGGCTTTCGGGTTGCTGAGCGTTCGGAAAAAAGCAGAGTCTTCTGTGACAAGGGAAAGTTTTGTGAAATTCAGATTTCAGCCTCCATAAATAAAGCTTTCTCCGAGCAGCCCTGCCTGTCGCTGGTCACACCGGGGTCCGTGCTGGGGCTGCTTTCACGCTGCCGCAGCAGAACTGGGGAGCTGTGACAGAGACTGGGTGTCTCCCAGAACCTGAAATACTTAGGCCCCGCCCCGTCCCAGAAGGGGTTCGTGACACGTGGTGTGGAGATGAGCGAGGGAAGTGATGACCACAGGCATGCCAGGTGGGAGTCGGTTACACTGGCCCACTTAGAGGGGTTTGGCCTCGGTGGACTCCGTGGACATGGAGGCGGCGGTGGGGTTTTGTGCTGATTCTGCTGCTGACCTGCTGTGCGCCAGGCCCTGTGCTCAGTACGTCATCAGTCCTCGTGACACCCCTGCTGCCGTCGTGCCCATTTTACAGATGACGAAACCAAGGCTTGAGAGGGTAAATCATTTGCCCCAAGTCACACGGCTGGTACGTGACTGAGCCAGGATGCAGGAGCCTGTCCTTTGAATCTGAGCTTTAAGTAAAGGACCCACGTCAGGCTACCCATTGCAACAAGGTGGCACCTTCTAATGATGTTGGGCATGATAGCTGCCTCATGTCCCGAATTCTTCCTTCTCTGCACCAGGAAATGTGCTTTACACCCTGAGCTCATTGGACCTCATGTGAATCTCGTACCCACTTTTCCAGAAAGGAGATGGAGGTACAGAGATGACTTCTTTTTGTTGTAGTGAGTGGTCAAGCCAGGGTAGTAGTCCGGGCCTGATTTCTTGATTGCTGCCTTAACCGTGGCTTCGAGATGGGCACCGTGCGACACAGTGCCATGGGGGCGGAGGTGGGTCTCCGGGCCCAGGCTCGTGGCTTCGGCCGTGGGTGCTGGCGGTGAAGGCACAGCATTGGCAGCATAGGGAAGCACCTTTCAAGACCGGCCACGTGGGTCATGAGCCACATCAGTGTTTGTCATGCTCCTCACTGTCCTTGTTACACTGCCTTATCTGAGCCTCAGGACAGTTTACGGACTGCACTTGTCTGTTTTACCGGAAGCGCCAGGGGAGAAGGTTTGAACTGCCCAGAACCTCAGCAGGGGAGTGGGAGCTGGGTTTGGACCCAGGCAGTCGGACTTCTGTGTGTGTTCCCGCCAGTCGGTAATGGACCAGCAATTAACGTTTCATAAAGGAATGCGTGGTCGTGTAGAGGGTATCGAGAATGCGTGACAGAACAGGAACTTTTTTGATGCATAATAACACTTGGACATTAAAAATGCTCTCTTCTACAGGATACCTAGCCTAATCTCTTCAAATACTTGTTTTTATTTGTATTTGTTTTAATTTTTCAGTGTGTTCAGTTAGCCAACATTAGAGTACCTCGTCAGTTTTTGTTGTAGGGTTCAACGATTCATTACTTGCATGTGCTCACCCCAACATGTGTCCTCCTTGGCTTTGTTTTTAGATTCACGTGGGGGGAAATGTCGTCATGTTGCAACTTACTTTTAAATCATTCAGCCTAAAGAGTATTTCATTTATAGCTACAGAAAAAGAAAACCAAGGATCTAGGTGAAGGGTATATAAAAGTGTATGTTTTACTATTCCTTCAACTTTTGCATGAGATTACAACGTCAAAGTACAAATTTGACATGTCCTCGAAGTGATGCACAGATAAAGTCGGTGGGGTCCCTCCGCGCACCAGCACATTCCTCAGCCGTGAGTGCTGGTATGTGCTACAGTGGGATGAAGGCTGGAAACACTATGCCAAGTGGTAGATCCAGACATGGAGGATTACATGCCCTTTCACTCCTTTTGTACAAAAGTGCCTGGAATGGACAAATCCATAAAGACTGGAAGAGGAGTGGTAGCCAGGGGCCAGTGAAGAGCGAATGGGAAGTGCTTGTGAAGGAACAGGATTTTTCGGTGGTGTGATGAAATGTGGAATTGCGTACTGCTTGTGGTTGCTCAAGTGTGGGCAGGCTCAAACCACGGGGTTGTACGTCTCAAAACGGTGAACTGTTTTGTATGTGGGCTGCATCAGTGACAAAGCGTTTAGAAGGGAAACGTTGGTGCCCTTCTGCCAGGGTGCTTGCTCCGCGGCCAGTGCTGCCGGCTTGGTGGAGGAGGTGTGGCTTCGAGACCCGTCTGGGTGGGAAGCCTGCCGGTCTGGTCCTCAGGGTGAGTTAGCTCCTCATCTCCTGGCTCTCCTTGTTCTGAGGAAGTCTATTTGTGTTTCTAAGGTACTTTTTATGCTTCTCTGTCACCCCCCCCCCCCTTATCTCTGATCTAGGGCCTTTAGGGAGTGTTCTAAATGAGATGAGCGGGGTCAAGCTCTGCAGTTTTGTGGGGGTCCGCTGGCTTAGGACAGAAGATGGGCCGCTAAAGATGCCAAGGTGATCCACGCTGACAGAAATCATGCCAGTGCCTTCATTCTCACCAGAGCTTCACCTGTTTCAAAGGTCACATTGTCCTTTCAAATAGCGAACTGAAAGAAGAAAAGCTTCCTTTACAGATGTAGAGAGCAAATGATACGTTTATTTTCCTAGTAGAAAAAAAGGGGCAGTCTTGTGCATTTGAGGGAATTTTTCCAAACCAGCAACTGTGGGACTTACTGTACTCGGCTCTGTGTTCTTTCAACTGGGCTTTTCTGAGCTGACTGGGGTGGCATCTTGACCAGTCACATGAGAGGCTGTTTACCCTCGCTTGGGGAGGGCAGAGGCCCCTGCGCGGGTGATGATGTAATGTGACTGGCTGCAGGCTTGCCAGCTCAGGGCACAGAAGCATGTGATTTGCAGTTTATAGGAGCCGGCTTCCCATTTGTAGAAAAAAATCACTGGTATGTAAAAAAAAATCACTGGTATGTAGTTATTTAGGGCCTTAGTAAGAGGCTTCGATTTCCAAAGTAACAGAAAATTTGACTTGGATGTTCAAAGCGGTTGACTGCCAAGTTCACACAGGACGATGTGTGCGGTGTCGTCACAGGTGACGAAAAGGGCCTGATGTACGTCGGCCAATTTGCATGTTGTCTGCGTTAATTTAGGTGTTCTGTTTACCGGCCCTCTTCGTTTTCAGGCTTGCTGAGCGCCACCCCCCCCCCCCATTACTGGTTCTTACATATTTAGTTATATTTTCTCTGTAACCATTTCTCTGCTTACGATTTTTTCTTTTCTCTGGTCTGTCTTTGGATAGTGTGAATATTTGCGTCTAGTTTAGTAACATTAATATGCTTTGTGTCCCCATGAAGAGCTCTCTCAGAAATAAGAGAAATTCCCAGGACGACTCATTCATTCTGTCCTCATGCCAGCATTTGGTCCAGGACCTCCATCCAGATCTAACATAGGCGGGAGGCGAGTTGGAAGTTCCTCCTGAGAACCTGTGGTTTATTTAAAACTCAGATTTTCAGGTTGTGATGCTGGTTACCATGTCATTAGCCCAGGCATGTCTGCTGACAACACAGTAGCCATACTTAATCATTTTGGATTAATTTTTTTTTTTCTTTTGAGGAGCATACAATTTTGACTGTTTTATACCTGCAATTTCAAAAAACAGAGGTTATGATATTGTATCAAGTTATATGACTGCTAACAAGGTGCTTTTTTGTATCTGGCACTTGGTTGTTTGGGCCCCCATTGAAAACCTTTGTGCTCTGCTGGTGGAGATTGTTCTGTGGAACATGTCAGATCTGTTCTGACAGAAATCAGCCTTTCGATAACTTGTAACATTAGGAGGAGACAACAGAGGTTCCAAGGACAGCAAGCCTAGGACCGTCTCTGTATGCGTCCCAGCGTCGGCCTTTAGCTAGTAAGCTTTTTTAGAAATGGTATGAGATCACCGGCTAGAGTGGAGTGGTGTCCGCGTAGACGTGGACGTCACAGGGAGAAGGGAAGGTGTGTGGGGCGCCTGCCCACACGTGGAGCGCCACCGGCACCGTGGGGCCCATCGCAGTGGTCCTGTGGGGAATGTTACCCGGTGCTTCTGCCGAAGTTCAGGAAATGAGTGGTTATTGAGCCCTCCAGGAATCTCTGTCCTTTCCAGCATGTCTCCTGATCCCTTCCATAGCCTTCCTGGACTGAAATAGCATCTAGTGTTAGTTTCAGTCTGGAATTTCGACCGTGCCCCAGATTGATCAAGGCGTGGAGCTATCCAGCTCTACAACTGGTGGTTCTAAAACTTACCTGTGAGTAGAGGTCGCCTGGAAAGTGTTTAAAAGGCCAATTCCTGGCCCCCAACCCCAGAGAGGATGAGTCGGTAAGTCTGGCCTGAGAGCCTTGTGAATCGGCACTTTTAGGGAGCATTCCAGTGTTTCCAGAGCAGGCGGTGGTGCTCAGATGTTACTTTGAGAAACTCTCTTGGATTTCTTGGATGTGAGCACACTTCAGAAAAACACTACGCAGAGAGTGTAGTGATTGAAGTTTAGGGTGCTCCTTTGTCGGGGATTCTGAGCGTATCTGTAAGCACCAGCTGATTGTGCTGCGTTTCTTACAGACTGCCATCATGACAGTGACCATAGTGCTTCGTTATACAGGCTTTTCATCTTTGCAGATTACCACGTTTCAAAGTCTGTTTCCTCCCTGTTGTTTTAGGTTAAAGACCGAGGTCCAGAAGCCACAAGAAGGTTTTTTAATTGGTTTTATTGGAGCATTAATCTGGGAGCAATCATTTCTCTGGGAGGCATCGCCTACATTCAGCAGAATGTGGGCTTTGTGACCGGCTACCTCATCCCAGCGGTCTGCATCGGCATTGCTTTCCTGGTCTTCCTCTGCGGCCAGAGCGTCTTCATCACCAAGCCTCCTGATGGCAGTGCCTTCACCTATATGTTCAAGATCCTGGCATATTCGTGCCGTCCCCAGAAGCGAAGCGGAGAACGCGGTCAGAGTGGGTGAGTGCCGAGCTGTGATCGTAGGCTCAGCCTAACCCGACTTCCCCAAGGCTGTGAAGGAAGTACTCGCGCATGTCTGACGCGGGCCCACGATGTGCAGGGCTCTGCGCGGTGGTTTAGAGTCTCGTGTCCGCTCGAGGCGGTGGTGTGGCATTACTGTCTTCCAGCAGCCGGATTCCGGAGCTCATGCTTTCAGTGTTTAACTTCCGCACCGAATTTCCTCTCACTGCTGATTTAGATGGACTTCTTGCTTATATAAAGATGTGGGAGGTAGGGGCACCTGGGTGACTCAGTCAGTTAAGTGCCTGCCTTCGGCTGGGGCCCCAATCCCAGGACCGTGCTCGGCAGGGAGCCTGCTTCTCCTCCTCCCCCTGCTCATGGTGTCTCTCTCTGTTTCTCTCTCTCTCAAATAAATAAAATCTTTCAGGAAAAAAAAAAAAAAAGATGGAGGTAGAAATCGGCAGAGATCATAGGAGAGACACTGTACGTATTGTGTACATTTCTCTGTGTATTCTGAAAAGCTCTGGAGTTCGTTTGAATAAAAAATCGAGCAGTTGCTTACTTTTGTAGGTACCTCTCTGAGCTCCTTAAACAGTAAGCTGTTGTTTCTCACTTGTGAGTCAGCAGCTGTGGGTCAGCATGGGCCCCATCAGCCCATGGTCATTGCAGCCGCTCTGTGACAGGAGGACGTAAAAGAATTTTGAGATGCAGGTAGGGGAACTACATCATCCGCTTTGCGTGGGACTTACCTGTTTTAGCACCAAAAGCCCCACGTCCTGGGGAAGTCCCGGGCAAACTGGGACGGATGGTAGGTCACTCTAGATGCATATTAATAAAGGCAAGTCCAGAACTTAGCCCAAGAAGAGACCTCAGCAATTTTAGGTATTTGTTGAAGCGTAATCTACGTGTAGTACAGTGCATCCCTCTGAGCTCTACAGTTCTGGAGTTAACGACAGCCTTATTTGACCATGTAACTGCAGTGTGGTCAGGATAGAGACTATTTCCATCACCCCAGAGAAATCCCTGGGACCCTTTGTAATTGACCCCCTCGGAATATCTTGATCAAACTAGGCATTCCTGAGGGGTGAGCGGTCCCCGAGCCAGAGGCTAACCGTTCAGCCGGAGGGAGCCTTCTGCCCCTTAGGGCAGCACGCTCATGGCTGGGTGGCCCTGAGTGCTGGAAGGTTCTGCAGGCCGACCCCCAGACCTGCCTCCTCGTGGCTGGTCTGCTTGTATCTTACATACGCCCTTGGAGTCACATGAATGTCTGCTATTTGCTTCCATGTGGGAGGTTTGAAGCTGTTCCAGAATAGCTCTTATGGCCCTGTCCCTTGGCTGCGGGCTACTGGACTCCTGGCTGTCCCTGCGCGGGGTTCCCGCAGATCCGCCAGCCACGCCTCAAGTCCCAGCGGCTCAGTGTGGCATTCAGACTCCTCATTCAGAACCACCAGTGGTGGCACTCCGCTGGGGAATGTTTACAAGTTCTGACAGTGCTACCTTGCTCTTGTCTGCCAGAGGCTCCCGGACGCCGACTCCCCGGCTCCCGACCGGGCGGAGGCGGGGTCCCGCTCGCGGACGCCGACTCTATAGATAGATTACTCATGAGCAAAATACAGCCTTTAAAGTTTCAGTGTGTCGGTGTGGGTGGTACCTGTAGACATTTCTGCAAGAGGACAGTTTTGGGTTCCGGATACACAAATGGCGTGACGAAAAAAATCTGGACTGACTTCTACTTAGGGTTAAGTTTGTTTTTTGGACAACTGGCAAAGTTAAGATAAAAAGGACTATCTTGTAGAGAGGTCGGTGTCCAGAGAATTCTCAAATTATGCTCTCATGGTACACAGAATCCGAGCTCTGTGACCTTGGGCAGGTGAATGGCCTTGCCAAGCCTGCATTCCCTTTTTGTACAGTGGGGAGCAGCTCGTCTCACATGATCGTTGTGAGGCCTGAGGAGCTGACGTGTACACAGCTCTCGGCGGAATGCCTGCCTGGCCCGTGATGAGAGCCCGGCTGATGTCAACTACGGCCAGGATGCTCTTGCAGAAAGTCGGCTCCAGAAATCTAGGCAAGTTAAGCGTCGCGCAGTGTCTCCTCCATCTGGCCCAGTTCTGGTTTCCTCCTGGCCTACGTTGATCTGTGTCCTGAAGATTAGTTTAACGCTCCTTTTACATGAGAAGTCCATGTATATCTGTTCAGTTCATCCGACGGAGTGGGAATAGTTGTAAACACTTTTCGAGATACATACCTCTTGAGTTGAGAGTCTGAGAATTAATGGACCGTCTTCCTGGGAGAAGACGGGTCCGGGGAGCACGGCCTCATGGAGCCGGGGCACTTTCTGGGTCCTGCCTGTGTTTCATGTCGTTTGTGTCTTTGGCTCCGTGTTGGACCCTTCTGTGTTGCAAAATAACACACTAACAGCCTGTGTGAGTTCGGGGAAGCACGCGGTGCCTGCAACTTAGTACTTCTCAGAGTATCTTAATGACGTGAGTAATGTAACCAGGAACACGTCGGAGTGATTCTGTGTGTAAAAATGGATTTGTTACTGGACGCTGACATGTTCTTAGAGAAGCACATGTAGTATGATGTAGTAAGTCAGAGAGCATCTGAACTAGGTATGTAAGGACTTTACATTTCCTTTTGGCCAAATAAAATAAAATAAAATTGGAGAAGCTGTGAATACTTTCAAGTGAAAGTATGAGTAGTATATGTGGAGTTTAGAGTTTTTCTTTGAGTGTAGTTTTCCTGATTATTTTCCTTACTAGATAAGCTACATATGATTAGGAGTAGTATCTTTCTAACTTTATTTATGTATCTCTAGCACCAGGTAGAACAGATCTGGGTGTGTAGTACGTGCTCAGTAAATGTTCGTTGAATTGAATTTAGTTGTCCTGTCTGACATTTGGCTAAAATATTAAGTTACAGTTTTCAGGTTTTTGGTCCCCCCCCCCCCCCACTCTGAATGTTCAAATGAAAAAATGTCATTGTTTTGAGACAAAAATGATTTAAAACAGTGGTCACTTAGTTGTAAATTGGATAGGCGTTTATAAACTAGAAAGCAGACCACTGTCATTTATATCTGAGTCCCAGAATTGGAAGAAGGGAAGAGTTCTTAATGGTAATTATTTATCTCCTGGTATTTCTGGCTTTAGAGAATAGTTGGCAAATGAAACAATTTTTTTTCTGTTTTATCCCTAACAATCTAAGAGCATGTATCTCCGTTAGAGTGTTGTGGAGCTATCCACTGGGACGTGTTCATTTTATAATTAATGAAACTGTCCTAGAGTAAGCGTGTGAGTGCAGCTGCTAACGCATGAGCCACGACCAGAAGGCTTGATTTTCTGACCATGCCTGACTCGTGAGCGTGAGGGTGAGGCCTGTGGCCAGGGAGCAGAGGGGCAGGCGACGTCCCCTGGGCCTGGGCCTTAGGCTCTGCAGCCAGGGCCCTCCGGGTCAAATCCCAGCCCCCGTTCTCTGGCTCTGTTACCTTGAGCACGTTCTTGACCCTCTCTGCGACCTGGCTTCCTCCTCGGTGCCTTGGGGCCAGTGAGACTATCCTGATGGCTCCTCCCAGGGTCGTGATCCAGGTTAACGAGCAAGCACCCAGTGCCACCAGCTGCCTGGTGACATCGTCGTGTTACCATCGCGATCGCAGCTTTCCCTGCCAGAACAGAACCCTTGCTCACGGGCCCATCAGTGGCTGCACTTTAAAGCAACAGCTTTAGTAACAACATCCATGTTATGGTTGTGAAGTTTTCACGTTTGAAAAAGCCACCCGACTCAAAATCCAAACAATCCAGCCCGTTTTTTTCCCCTCAGACGCTCATCCAGCGCTGTAGCTGATGTAGCAGCTAGCTTCAAGTGAAACCGCAGGCCTTGCTCAGTGTGCGTGATGGGAGCGGGGCGGGGAGACCGGCCGCGCCCTGTCTGTGGCCGCCTAACGTGGCAGGAGCGCAGGTGCGCTTCCCGGCGAGGCCCTCTGCTGGCCTCGTCCACACATGCGCAGTGCTTCCCGCCAGCCCAGGCTGCTGTGTTCAGTGCGCAGTTAGTGAGGAACAGGGGGGTGTTCAAGCAGATCAGTGCAGCGAGCTGGCTTCCTGCCTCCAAATGTAAATTGTTGCCACATACGTGATTTCTGGGGGTGGAAGAAAACTAACTCCTTCATTTTATCTCCCAAAGTGAAGGCCTTGGAGTCCTTCAGCACTCTTCTAAACACAGTCTGTTTGATTCATGTAAGAGGTCTCGCGGAGGGCCGTTTGCGGAGGACACGGTGGAGGACGTGAAGGCCCTTGTGAAGATCATCCCCGTGTTCTTGGCTTTGATACCCTACTGGACGGTGTATTTCCAAGTGAGTGGTGACGGCCGGGTATCCACTGCTTTCTGTCCCCGCACTCGCTTGGGTCGCCACCGGAGTGCAGGGGCACCGTGCTCTCCTCTGCGGAGTCTGTGGGATCTTGGAATCCTGTTTCCAGTCGTGGAACTCACTTCTGCTGAGTTAGACGTTTTGAGACCCTTTCCATGAGAGAAGCTAAGAGCGGGTGTGCTTCTGCTTTCCAGGCCCCACCTTTGGGCTTAATTGCTCTGTTACTTCTTTTCCAAAGTTGATCTCCAGATGACTTGTATGATGACCAAATAATCGATCTGTTTTCAGACCCGAGCCATGCACACCTCCTCACGGAGCGGTCTGGGGGTGGGCGGCTCGCTGGAGTGTTCCCACACATAACGGTCCCACTTTTTACACCCAGATGCAGACAACGTATGTTCTGCAGAGTCTTCATTTGAAGATTCCGGCGATTTCCAGAATCACAGCCACTCCTCATACGGTGAGAACAACTGAGATGATCTGAAAATTGTCACTTGGAGCTTATGTAGCAGGCGGGTGCCTTCCGCCAGTCGTAGGTCCTTCCCGAGGGTCCTCGGCTGCTCGAACCAGAAACATTCTCATTGGAATGGAACTTTTGCTTATTTTAGAGACTATTCTATTGGCCGTGTCGTTTCCTAGATCGTTGACAAATGTCAACCAAACACTAATCTTCCTACCTGACTTTTTTCTCCCTAAAAGCATAGAAGAACAAATGCAAATGCACTTGGAAATGAAAATCTTTTTCAGTTCCAGTGTCTTGAAACTGAGACTTTTTCCTTAGGAGGTTATACTTTGTATGAATGGACTCTTCTAGAATAAAGATTTTCTCAGGGCGCCTGGGTGGCTCAGTCGGTTAAGCGTCTGCCTTCGGCTCAGGTCATGATCTCAGGGTCCTGGGATCGAGTCCCGCATCGGGCTCCCTGGTCCGCGGGAAGCCTGCTTCTCCCTCTCCCACTCCCCCTGCTTGTGTTCCCTCTTTTGCTGTCTCTCTCTCTGTCCAATAAATAAATAAAATCTTAAAAAAAAAAAAAGAAAAAGATTTTCTCAGACATTAGTTATGAGGTGAGTGACTACTTACTCCTCCCGAGAACTAACCTTGTCTCGTGCGTTTCGATTCTAGTTCCCGGCGGCCTGGCTGACCATGTTCGACGCAGTTCTCATCCTCCTGTTAATTCCCTTAAAGGATAAACTGGTTGATCCCATTCTGAGAAGAAATGGCTTACTCCCGTCATCCCTAAAAAGGATCGCCGTTGGAATGTTCTTTGTGATGTGTTCTGCCTTCGCTGCAGGTGGGGAGGCATTTCTGTCTCATTCCTGGAGCTCAAAACTGGCGTTAGCAGCTGTGGGTGACTCGGAGCCCCATGACCGGCCTCTGGTCACGCTGCGTGTGTGCACCCTAAAAGAGGACAGATGTGGGGTGTTGTGAATGGATGCCGTTCACTTTCTGGTTTCCATTATGTGAAGGTTAAGATTTTCTTCCTAAGGCTCTGCTGTTTTTCTTCTAGAGCCAAAACTGGTAAAGTGCTCTGGAAGGTGACTTCTGGCTTGGATCAGAGGAGGCTTGTTCTCTCCCTTCTGATTGAGATTGTGGACGACTGTCTATTGCTGAATGGATGAATTTTTATTATCAGTCTCAAAGTCATGGGTTGACCCTTAGTGTTCTTAACTTAGGTCCAGAGTTGGCTTTGGCCTGCCCCTTCGTGTGGAGAAAGGTTTTATCAGGTCCAGGCTCATGACCAACCCCCACCCCCAGAGAGAGAGGGGATGTGAGCCACTGCCTGAAGCACCCCAATACTGATGAGGGGCGTTTTCATGATTCTTGCATTCTGAACTGTTAGGTTGGAATATCTTTTGATGAAGCTGAGGTACCGCTGACGTTCTCAACTCGCTCTGGAGTTCTTCCTTCATTAATATTTGAAAATCATTGAACCCTAAGACAGCTTAGTTATGTAACAAGAACAGAAAAGCTGATACTCCTGAACCAACTGTGTATCACCCACTGTTAGGAGGAATTTAATGTTAAGTACTGCTGAGACAGAATTTAATATTCTCCAGCAATGTTTCCCAGCAGCCTCCATGCACTGTCCCCAGAGTGAACATATTGATATAGTACTTAATAGGTTTAAAGAAATGAGTCCCTAGGCTTAAGAAATCTATATTCCAGGGACTGGGACATTTTAGAAGACAATTACATTTTCTCTTGATCAAATAGATAATTAAAGTGAGGTCGTGTCTGAATGAAGTTTTTACTGTGTGATCTGTTCATGATTCTGTTTCTCTTCCAGTCCTGTGGCACATGGGGAAATAAGAGCAAATAAAAACTAAATTGCAGTGGGGCTGTAATTGCGGGTCTCATTAAGCAGGATCAGAGATCATCAGGGCTGTTTGGAGTAACAGCTGCCGGGGTTGCTGTCTGTCTGTCCTGCCTCCCCTGAGCACCTACCATGGGCTCAGCTTTGGGCCCCGCAGCTCCCCTCTGTCCCTGTACCAGGGCGCCCTCTCTGCACCACGGCCACGCTGGTTACATGCCAAGGAAGGGGGGAGTCCTTGTTCTCTCCCTCTGGGAAGGGAGGTGTCCTCGGTTTTCAGGCATTTCCTAGGAGGTTCTGGGTTTGGGCTCCCTTAATACCGTCTTGTTTTTCGGTTCTTCTGGGGGTCACGCTGAGGACCAGGGAGGGCATTCCTGTGGTCTCTGCCCACGTTTGTGTAGGAGGCAGCTGACAGACGAGTGAGCGCTGAGACTACCCCGTGGGCATGGCATCCAGCCTTCACCAGTGCCCGCAGAGCACACGGCACTTCTCGCCCAGCGCTGGGCAGAACAGGCCGCGCTCTGTGGGGCCGCCCTCGCCCCTGGGGGGGCTGGGCAGCTAGTGTGGTCGCTCGGCCCTGAGGCCTCCGAGTTGGAATTGCTTTCTTAGAAATGGAAGGCATCCACTACGCTTGTGTTCTTAGATAGGGGAAGGGAGCCCCAGAGTCACTGCTTTGGAGATTTTAAGTATCTGGTACTTGAGTTAAGCACTGTTTATTAAATATAATGCACGCAGTTTTACTTCCAGCTCTAGCAAGTATTTAATTGGAACATTAATAAGCTTTGAGTAGAAATTGAAACTATCCTAGCAAACCAAGATTTTAATGGAAAGGAAACAGTTTTGGCTTTGAAACTTACTACCCTCCCCCGTAACCAGTCAATATCTTCCATTTAGAACCATGCCTGCTGGTAATGGGTTCATTCTTTCAAGTCTCTCAGCTGAGAATCAAGCAGGTCCCAGGGGTTTTTTCAAGTGTGCATTAAGAAAAAGGAAGTGTGTTCATTGGTTAGATTTCCTTTCCCCTTAAAGAACCGTGTGTGATACCCTTGAATTACTGGAGCAAGAGATGCTCACTGGAGGGAGGGTGATCTTGGAAGCATAAAGAAGAAAGTAAAAACCAGCCGTAATTTCCCTAGAGACGCTCACCATTAGGACAGTGTGAACCTGCCTGATCTTGTTTGTGTGTCTGTGTTCTTGCAAAAACGAAATCCTGTTGTGCAAGCTGATATGAGCCTGACTGAGAAAATAAGTGTCAGAAAAACCCTAAGAGTATAATAAAAGCTGAGCATGTTACATGTAAGGAGGGAAAAATCTGTATAAAGACAGATGAGCCATTGTGTGCGTGTGCACATGCACTCATAATTCCACCACCTTCGGAAATCTAATGACTATTCTGCGGGTGCATGGGAAAATTACATACATGGCATGTGGTGGATACGTTTCTATTTCCTTTGTCATGCTTTGAAAACCAGCCCCGAAGTATCATGAATATCCCTCCATGTCAGACGTTCCTCCGCAGTCCTCTGTGGTTGGGCGTCGGGGGTTGGGGTGCTTGGGCTCATACTCTGGGCATTACTGCGGTGGATTTCTGCAAGTGTAATCATGGCATCCCTTTAAGGCTTCGGATAATCTGACGGAGTTCTCTTCCAGGAAGGCCGTGACTCCGCCAACATCCCAGGCTGGTGGTGCCTACCCGTCCAAATGCCGGCCCCTCCGTCCCCCTTGGTGGTGTCATGGGTGCTCGTCACTCGGGTGTAGGTGGGAGTCTGCGTAGCCTTCAGGGCCAGAGAGCACCCTGAAATTGGGGCAGAGCCTGCTGAGAGCCTTTTCCTGGCTCGTACCTGGCATTAGTTAAGAACCACTGGTCCACAGCAGGTTTTCGAAAATTGGTATCACGTAGGCGATCCACGGTCATGACAGACACACAGAGAAGAGCCGGGAGACCCCAGAGCATCCGTAACCCACCCCCATCAGGGTGACCACGTGATGTCTTCCAAGGACATTAGCTGTTACAGCTAAATTCATCTTTTTTTAAATAGAAATGAAAGTATTCAGTTTATAACTTAACTGTTCTTGTGTATTATGTACATACCATTTTTTCTTTGTCAATTACACATGTAAATCATGGTGTTTAACAACTATACAATCTTCCGTTGTTAAATACACCGTCAGTTCTTAGACCAGTCCTCTCTCAGTACACGTGATGGCCAACTCCAGTCTGTCCGCACGTCAGACCCGCTTGTGCACGCGCCCTCATCCGTCCACATGTCTGTCCTCGGCTTTCTGTCCCCTCGGTGGGAAATGTTCAGGCCACAGGCACAAGTTCTAGCTCCCTTGTCAGTGCTCATTACTTTTTCTGTGAATCTCTTCCCTGAAGGATTTAAACGGGTATGTCTTCGTTTTGATGTATGTTAGGGTGATGGTGATTCCCCCCTACATTATCAGTCCTCAGATTCTGTGTACAGTTATGCCCTGTGGCATTTTGTACCGGGGTTTTCTTGTTCATGTGGACGGCGTAATCAAAACTTTCATCGGAGGAGTATCATTTCCAGTGTTTTCATGTTTTCTTGAATTTTGTTTATGGGATCTTGCAGTTTTATGCGTTTCTTCATTTTAGGTCCTGTGCATTTTGTGTTAGGTTTTTCCTAACTACTTGATGTACTTTTGTTTGCTCACATAAGGGATTGTTAAAAATTCTGAGTTCAAATGAATTCTTTTCAAACGGTCATTTGTTTTCTTCAGATAGCATGGTTTCCCTTCCTGCCTTCACGGTGATCCTCCCTCCCTGTGTTTCTGTTGGGTGTTGGTGGGACTGTGTGCAGCACTGGGAGAGCTGGTGGTGATGGAGAGCCCGCCCCCGCCCCTCCCCCCCGGACTCTGTACAGGGCGCCTCCAGGGCAGCTCCCGGGGAAGCTCAGAACTGGAGTTTGAGATACATATTCACGGTTCTGCTAAATTTCTAACCTTTATTTCAATTTTACTGAGTGTTTTTGGTAGAAATGAATGTCAGATCTTTCTCCAGTAACATTTTGGTTTCCAAGAGGACTGCATGCCCCCTCCCACCCCGGATATTGATGTTTTTTTAGTTATATTAAATTCCTGATGCTCATTCCTGCGTTTCTGAAACATGAGTTTTTCCAGAGGGCTGACTTTGCTTGCAGTCTGCTATTTTATTCACACCTGCGTGCCTCCATCCCTAGTTGACATCAGTCTGTGGTTTGGTTTTGGGGTCGTATAGCTTCATAAAAGGAGTCGGTAGACCCCCAATTTCTGTGGGCAGGAGAGTATTTCAGCCTGGGAAGAATTATCTTTGCGCTCCCCAGGTCTTTGCATAGAAAATCACATGAGCCCATTACTCTCTCAGGAGAAATGGGGTGATGTTTTCACCTTTTTCTCAGTTTTGTGCAGATTGTGTTTTCTCTTGAATCACTTAAGTGTTTTTTTTTAAATGTCCCAAGTAAACCATTCATTTTATTGAGTTTTAGAAAAATTATTGGACTGGAGATAAAAATTGTCTTTTAAATAATCTGTTGTATTTCTTTCCTCATTTCCAGTTTCGTGTATTTATGTGCTTTTTTTTTTAATTAGGCTTGCCAAAACTATATGTATTTGATGATTTTTCCATAGGACCTCTTGAATTTATTAATTTGACTTTCTCTGTGTCTTCTAACAATAGAGAATAATTAAGATACAATTTCTCTCTATTGCCTTGGGTTTGTTTTGTGATTTTTCTCTCTCATGAGTTAGATTCATTTACTTTTGCTGCTTCTTCCCTGTTTAATAGTGGAAACTGTAGAATGGCATGAACTTGCCTGTCACTGCTGCTTTGTCAGGTCTCATGTGCTTGGATTTGTTGTAATTTTGTTGTTTTCTAAGACTACTGAACCTGGGTTTTACTTCCTTTATGACCCACGAGTAATTCCAGAGAACCGTTTCCCTCGTACTGATGTTCACCCATTGGTTAGTGATGCTTCGACTTACTGTGGATTTGGGAGAGATCCTGCATTCGGACTTCAGGCCCTCCTTTCTGGCCTGATGGCGCTTTCTGCAAGTGTTTGTAGGGAGCCGAACAGGATGGTTCCTCTGTTGGAGCGCCATCCTCTGTGTTCATCAGACGCGTTCCAGCAGGAGCCTGGCACTCCAGGGCCTGCGAGGGGCCTGGGGGTCCCGTGGATGAGCGCATGGTCCAGTAGTATATGGTGGTGTGTGCATCGTCTGGTGATCGGGACCCAGGTTCTGCCCACGCCCTCTCTCAAACGCTGTGTGGGTCACCCAGAGTGACCCCGTAAGCACTGACCTTTGTGTCCCCTCCGTTCACCGAGTCCTGAGCCGTGTGTCGTGTCCACGGAGGCCAGGGCTTGCCTTTGGGCCTCTGGATGGCGACCCTTGCTCCAGACGAAGCCTTGGTGGTTTTTGTCTGCTTGTTCTGACAGGGACTCGGAGGGGTGTGTGTGTGTCACAGCGTCACGGGTTTCCGTCTTCTCCGGGGTTAAGTGTGTCCCCGGGGGAGGTGGCGCACGTGGGGTCCTGAGCCCGAGCGTGTGGCCAGAGTTCGCGCTGCTCACGTTCCAGAGCGTGGTGCCGTTAGTGTCTCGGTTCTGAGCAGAATAAACGCCGTCGTGCCTGCGAAGCCGTGGGCAGAGGGCCTGCGGGAAGCGCAGCGCACCTGGATTTCCTGTGCCTCTTGAGTCTTGGGCCCTGTCCTGTGGCGTCGCTCTTCCTCTGCCGGTCCTTCCCCCCCGCCCCCGCGGTGCTGCTGTGCCTTCAGCCTCGTCCTGCCCACGGCCTCGGGGGCCTTGGGTTCGCTTCCGCCTCTGCAGAGCCGCCACTCACTGAGGAGTGTGCTGCCTTGGCTGTTCGGGCACCTTCCTCCACGCTCGTGCTGATGCTTCCTTGTTAGCCCCCTGCTGTCACCTCGCGACAGACCTCGCGACGGCCTGTTCCGGGGCCTCGGTGCTGGCGGCCCCCCTTCCTCCGCTGGCAGCTTTGCCGGTACTGCTCCATCCCCGTCGTCGTCTTCGCAGCTCCTCATCCCCCTTCCCCCCCCCACCGCCGGCCTTGTGCTCTGTGTCCCCCTGGCCAGCGCCCCCTGGTTCTGCACGGCGTCCGCATCATGGCTAAGACCACAGAGCAGGTCGTGTCCCCAGGGGCACCCTCCACACCCCTCACACGCACACACGTCCTCTCACCTGTCCGGCCTTCCCTGTGGAGAAGAGTGTTTTCTCCAGCTTGTTGTCAGGGCCGGTTGAGAGGGTCCTTCCTGCAGACCCAGCTGCGCTAGGATTGCTCCAGAACCTTTCAGCGCCACGCTGGTGGCCGAGGCGGTGTCCTAACAGTGGGAGGGGAGCCTCGGCTGACCCAGAGGAAGCAGGCCACATTCTGTCCCGTGCCCGCAAGCTGTCACTTGTGGATAAGGCCCTTCGTGCCACCACCAGCGTCCTGGCAGAGACAGCCACGGGCACTGCCACGCCCCAGAGGCCCCGGCTAGAGCAGCTGGGAGCGCCAGGCTGGCGGCTCGGCCCACCCCGGTCTGCCCCCACCCGGGTCTGCCCCTGCGCTTCCTGCTAGAGGACAGGGTGTGGGGGTTGGGGTCCCCTCCACGCGCCTCCAGGGAAGGGATGCAGGTGTTTCTGATGGAGGTGAGCCAGAGGCCTGTCCTTACCTTGCTCCTTGGATACAGTCTTCGCGCTCTCCGTGCTCTCCTTGTTTGGACATTTCCTGTGACCTGTAGCCTGGGGCAGATTCCAGAATTTGTCTTCCCGTCCTCCTGTTACTGGTAGCCTGGACCTTTCTCGTTCTCAGGTTTTAAAAGGGGTATTTTTAATAGAGTCCACTGCCCTCTCCCAGACAGCTGTCGTCCTCGTGCTCACGGTTTTGAACACGTGCGTTTGCGTAAATATTAAATACTAGGCCCGTTACCCCGTTCACAGAGTTCTTGAGAGACAAACCCGGTGACCTCTCTGACCTAAGAACTTGGAGCTACGGCTGTTGCTTTTAAGCTTTACTCTGATTGGTTTATTTTTTGTTTTACAAGGTGTGGCTGTTGGTGCTCTTGCTCATTTCCCCATGTCCTTTTGTTGCCCGACAAATGACCAGTAATGGAGAGGGATCGCAGGGCTGCTGAGGGTGCGGGCTGTTCGCCGGGTTTCATCCGGGAAACTCGTATTGTCAGCCATGGCCGGGGTTGTAGTCGGAAGGGTAGCAAGTCAGTGGGCCAGCCTAAATCCGTCACCATGGCAAGAAAAACATCTCAGGACCCACTGCCCCCTGACAATGTGGGTGCCTTCTTACTCTCCTCACGCAGGGCTGTGTGACAGCCGGCGTGCAGGTGGGCTATCTAGACGTCGGAGGCTTACATCACACGTAAAGACCCGCCTGACATATCTGGTAGGATCAGAGAGTAACTAGGAAGCTGGGAGGGGGCAGTCCTTTAGGTCGGGCGCCTCCTGGCCTCTGTGTCACTGGGCCTTGCCCTTGTACTTCTCACAGTAGTCAGTAAGCATCTTGTAGCAAGTGTGTAGTGTTTCAGTTTAACTGCGAATGTTAATGAACAAGTGTTCTATTAACCTACTTATGAATTCTAGGAATTTTGGAGAGCAAAAGGCTGGACCTTGTTAAAGAGAAAACCATCAATCAGACCATCGGAAAAGTCGTGTATTACGCTGCTGACCTGCCGATATGGTGGCAGGTCCCACAGTACGTGCTGATTGGCATCAGTGAGATATTCGCCAGCATCGCAGGTGAGGCTTCTCTCCCTCCGGGGCCTGGGGCTGGCAGGGTCCGGGAGGAACGGGGGGCATGAGTAGAACACACGGAGACACGAGGGGCCTAGTGCCCTTGTGTTTCGTGGCAGCAGCTGTGGTTCAGAACGTGAGTCCGTAAGTACAGCGATGCTGTGGCTGAGGTTCGCATTTCTGGGTATAAAAACAGGGTTCCCAGAGACGTTCCCAGGACTTGTCCGCTCCCGCGGAGGCGCCAGCAGAGACAGGAGGAGGAAGCGGCTCTGGGTGGTTCCTCCCAGGTCGGACTCTTCCTAACCACAACTCTGTGGTTCTGCCGTGGCAGCCCAGCCGCTGGCTGCCACCAGAGCTCTGGGTGTGTCGGGTCGGCTTTATGAAGGAGGCAGACCTGTTGGCGCAGGCCTCTCTCCTGCAAGCCGTGTCCTGTGGGGTGTGGACAAGGCAGTGTGTGCAGACCCGTTCCCAGCTGCCGGAAGGGAGGGACAGAATTAAGGATGACCAGAGCCGGATGGATTGTGGGGGGCTGCCGGCGGCGGTTCCCCTCCACACCTGTCATCAGACTCCTGCAGAATGCGCTCCTGACCGTGAAGGAAATGAATAGAGCGGTCTTTTGTTTGCAGTTCATTGTAAATCTCCACGTATAGTTGTTATAAAAATGTGAATTTATGGATGTCCGTGTTGAAATAATTTTAAAATATATTGTCTTTAAGATAGAAGTCTTAAAAGGATCCCCATCTTAGTCTGTATATGTTGTTTTCAGACCCTCCTTAGTTGAGAACATAGAAGATTGCTTCTTTAACCACATAGATCAAGAAATACAAGAGCTGACAGGTCAGATGTTACTGTGAAGTTTGAGAGCAAGGACTTGACTTTTTGCTCCATGACTTACTTGAAGGACTGTCCTGGTGAATAGAAGGGGCCCCTTGATTTCTTGACCTTGTGTTAAATACAGTCTTCAGACTAGGGAAGAGAGCTGCCCTGCTTACCTGAGACCCCACGTGGGGCCCCGTGCAAATCTGCCATATTTAGGCAGGGGCACTGTCAGCCCACCTCTCACAGAAACAATCTTCTTCTTCCTATAGGTCTAGAATTCGCCTATTCGGCCGCCCCCAAGTCCATGCAGAGCGCCATAATGGGCTTGTTCTTCTTCTTCTCTGGCGTCGGCTCGTTTGTGGGCTCTGGACTGTTGGAGCTGGTGTCTATCAAAGCCATCGGCTGGATGAGCAACCACACAGACTTCGGTAAGGGCCGCACCGTCTGTTTGCACACGGCCATTGGCAGAACCCGGCGCTCGGGTCCCAGGGCGTGTGGTGTTACTGGAGCTCGGCTGCCCCAGAGCTGCCTGAGACGCCCCCCTGCCTGATCCCCTACGTCCTTGTGAGTTTGCAGGGGCGCAGGTGAGCCTCTGTCTGTCCCGGGGCCAGATCGCCTCCGCCACACGGGCTGGGTCTGTGGGGCTGCAGCTGCTTCCTCAAAATATCTTCGATCAGTAGCGGTACCAGCAGGTTCTCTTTGTTTACCTTGGTTTGTATTTGGTTTTCTTTTCCAGACAGCACCTTTAAACTTTCTGCTGTTAAAGACGTAGATAGAGAGTAAGCTCCTTTCTTGAGCCACAGCAGTGACTCGTGACCGTCAGGAGGGGATTTTATCGGCCAGGAGGTGGCATGTTGGGGCGCTGAGCAGAATCACTCACAAAAGAATTTTGCTGATCCCAGATTTATGGTACCTTTTAACTGGACTCACGAGATGAAGGTTTCTTTCTTCTGTTTTGCCTGTGAAAAGAGCCTTAGTACTTGTTCAGTTGTGCAGTATTTACTTGGGTCCAGGGCCCTTAGCCGTTTGTCGGTCATAAATCCACTTGGAACGCTGATGAAAGCCTGGGGACTTTCCCCAAGAAAATACAGAATTCCAAAGGCCCTTCCCTGACTAAGCTAACCTTCCCATCCTGAGGGGTGAGTTTAGGGCTGTGGAGTCTCAGTGTGGCTTTCAGAAACCACAGCCGCCCCTGCAGCTCCCAGAGGCCTGGCCACACTGCGTTCGGCGGGCTCGGACCTGGTTGTTCCGAAGAGAGCAGGCAGGTCTGGGGCTTTGCTGTTGACTCCCAGGCCCCTGGGAGGGTGAGCGGCTGTGGAATACAGAGCAGGGGCACGGTGGCTCCTGGGAATTCTCACGGGTTCTTGGCGGCCCATGATCTGTTTTTCTGGGCATGGGACCGACCTTCTTCAGAGGAAGCCTTGCTGCAGGTCAGAACTCCATGATCCTTCTATTTCTTTGTCTTATTTTTCAGCGTATCTTGAAGGATTGATTAGTTTTGGTGATTTCCATTAATTGCTTTCCAGTGATTTCATCCCCTTGTCACTGACTTAGTATCTCCAGCTTTACCATCATTCGCCCTCATGTCTCACAGGGTAGCGTCCAGCTCCTCACTGTGAGGCTCGTCTCCGGTCCTCGTGTCCCTCGCACACACGCAGGGCTTGCAGCTGGTGTCATTTTCAGAGCAGTGTGTCCTACCACAGCCCCACACCATGTCCAGTGCTGTCCTTGTTTTCACACCAGGAAGGAGAGTCTCAGCGAGCTGTGCTTGCAGCCCCCAGGGCCCCGCAGCTCGGTTGGCACGGGGAGGATGCAGATGTGGGAAGCGCGCAGCCGGCCAGGCAGCTCCCTCCCAGCGCCCTCCCACCTGGGGACTTGGGGAGAGAACGGGACCAGGTAACCCCCCCACACACCCAGATAACGTCTTGCTTCAGTAGAGGGGGCGGCAGGTGCCATCCTGGGCGCCGTCTGTGCTCTTCCTGGCTCTCTGCTCTTCCGGTCTCTCTGCTCTTCCGGTCCTTCCCTCTGCACTTGTGTTCAGGTTCGGATGAAGCAGGTGGCGTGGAGCTGGCTGAGCATCCCACGACTGATGCACCGAGTGGCTTCCTGCATAGTTACAGAACTGTGGTGTGGAGGAAGGGGCCCTGCTCTCTCACCATTGCTCCCTTCCCTGCCTGTTCTCCCGTAGGCTGGGTGTTCGTCATCATCATCATCACTTAGATCCGGCATAATTCAGACTGTTAGGCACCCCAATCTTTTTTTTTTAAGGATTTTTTTTTTTTTTTTTTTTTTTTAAGATTTGGTTTACAGAGAGTGCACGAGCAGGGGGAGGGCAGAGGGCGAGAGGAAGAGAATCCCCAAGCCAACTCCACGCTGAGTGGGGAGCCCGAGGTGGGCCCAGTGCATGACCCTGAGATCATGAGCTGAGCCCAGATCAAGAGCCGGACACTCACCTGACTGAGCGCCCCTAAAGCATACCAATCTTAAGTGCACATTTCGAAATGTTTTTACTCCAGATCAGGATGCAGGACCTTTCGGGAGGCTTTCCTGGGGCCTGCTGTAGTCAGTCCGCTCACCACCCTGCTAGGTCCTTGCTGCTGCGACATTGGGCACCGTGGACGCCTTCTTGTTTCTGCTCCGTGATGGCCGGCTCCATTCCACAGTTTCGTCTGGGAGTCATCGCCTGTAATCTGTTCTTTCTTATTCTGGGGAGTAGCCGGTGGATGAGTCAGTCACAATTCATTGATCTGTTCTGCTCTTGCTGGGTGTTTGTGATGTTTCCAGTGTGAGGCTGTCATGAGTAAAGCTGCTGGGGACCTTCTCACACGTATGTCTGGGGGGGGGGACGTGTGAGCTCATTTTCCGGGGCCCAGGAGTCTGTCTTATCATAAACAATCTCCTAGAGTTTACTGTCTTTAGGTGCGATTGTTCTTCGGTCTGTGAAGATGCCCAAGGAAGCACAGAGTTAATTGTGGTTTCTGAATACTCTTCCTAATCCCACACAGGCCGACCCTAACAGGGAAAACTGTAGTTCTCTTGGCACGCCAGCTTTGAGCTTCAGAAGTTGTAAGATTTATTTACATCTTTATTTGAGAGAGAGAGAGAGTGTGTGCCAGAGGGAGAAGCAGGCCCCCCAGTGAGCAGGGTTCCCGATGCGGGACTCGATCCCAGGACCCTGAATCATGACCTGAGCCGAAGGCAGACATGTCACCAACTGAGTCACCCAGGCGCCGGAGCTTCAGAAGTTTGAAATGACTCCTTAATTTGGGGAGATTCATACTTCAGTACCTGCACGTGGAATGACATCACCGGTGTCCCCGACAGCAAGCTCGTCCGGTTCCGTGGAGCTAACACAGCAGTGGCCACGGTGAGGCCTGGGATCCACGGAGGCTGTGCGGGCCTCCCAGTGCCTGGGACGGAGCCTGGCATGTGGTGGGGACTCAGTCCCTGTTCCTTTTTTTTTTTTTTTTTAAGATTTTATTTATTTATTTGACACAGAGAGACACAGCGAGAGAGGGAACACAAGCAGGGGGAATGGGAGAGGGAGAAGCAGGCTTCCCGCAGAGCAGGGAGCCTGATGCGGGGCACGATCCCAGGACCCTGGGATCATGACCTGAGCCGAAGGCAGACGCTTAACGACTGAGCCACCCAGGCGCCCTGACTCTTCCTAATTTATTTTTATTTTTATTATTTTTTTAAAAGATTTTATTTATTTGACAGAGACACAGTGAGAGAGGGAACACAAGCAGGGGGAGCGGGAGAGGGAGAAGCAGGCTCCCTGCTGAGCAGGGAGCCCGATGCGGGGCTCAGTGCGGGGCTCGATCCCAGGACCCTGGGACCATGACCTGAGCCGGAGGCAGACGCTTAACGCCTGAGCCACCCAGGCGCCCCTCAGTCACTGTTCCTAACTACCTGTTGTAGATGGTCTGCTAGAAATTCAGGTATTACCAGATCCCTTCCCAAACCGATCCACGTGGGAAGTCATTGTTTTCTGCAGCCTGCTTGAGCCTTGTACGAATGTGTTATATCCACCATTAACTGTGTTTATGAATACAAGCAGTGTGAAACGTTGGTGTTAGTATGTGTTCAGACACAGAAGGGAAGTTCTAGAACAACCCAGTTTCACAAAGCCCTTCAGGCGAACAGAAGTCTCGACTGTTTAATAAGCAAATCAGAGAGCTGCGTTCAATGCACGAGAGAGAGCACAGCTCTGGAGACACTGCCGACCAAGTACATGTCTTCGCTCATCTGTCGAGAAATGCGTCACCCTTTTTAGTGGGTGACAAACGGTGTAAGTGGTAGGACACCTGTGGGCCATGGTGATGGGGTCAGGCTTTGTAGGGAGCCCAGGGCAGCGTGCTGTGAGCGGCTCTGGATGTTCCAGTACAAACATCATATTTTCTGCACACATCCTTCTTGCTTCTCCACACTGAGTGTTGTGGTCAGTGGTGCCCTTGAGAAACTCCAGCAGAAAGACCCCAGCTTACGGACTTGATGGTCCTGGACCCACGTGTACAGTAAGGACGGTAACAGGAGGGCGATGTAAAGCCTTCGTATGTCCCGGGTCCTGTGCAGGGTCCGGTACCCACACGTTTACTCCTCACACTGACGCCAGCAGCTGCTGTGTCCCCCGTTTCACAGAGCGGGGAGCAGCCCGGACGTGGCAAGCCGGTGGCTTTGAGCTTTGTTGGTTGAGCTTCCGCGTCTGTGTGTGTAACCTCTTCAGCCTGGTTGGGATGTATTGGGAACTAAACGGAACAGTGCGTGTGAAAGGCCATGCTTAGTGCTTGGGGCAGAGTGGAGCATTGGGTATGTTAGCCATTGGGACGACGTGTGCACCCATATCACCTCGAGGATGCTAAAACCTGAACTTTGGGGGAAAATTTTAAAAATAAACTCCTGTCTTCCTATATAGTATGTAGAGTGAATGTCAGCTGTCTGCCCTGGCTTGTGACGGGCACACACGAGGGAGGGTGCTTACCGTCCAGGAACTGCTGACCGGCACAGGACACCCGGAACTCCGCACTGGACGTGGTGTCCGGGCTGTCCCGCAGTGTGGCCTTGATAAGTGCCCAGATTCTGGACCCGAGCTGCGGAGAACATCGCCTTCAGGATCGGCCTGGGGGTTGGTCCTCAGGACAGCAGTGCGCGCCGGGCCAGCCGGCAGCCCCCCAGCGGCGAGCGCCGCAGGAGGAGACTGGGAGGAAACACCGTTCCCTCCAGTACCTGCTTCTGAGGGGGCGGGAGCACAGGAGCGCGGTGTGTTCTCCTTCCGCGGACTTTCTGTACTGGAAAAACTTAAAGCCTCTCTCGACATTGTGTCGCAGAACACGGTGACGCGCTCCTCGTTCACTTCGGACGGTTCTCTACAGCCGCCGCATGGATTCTCGGGCGGGTGTGGTCAGAAATAGGTCTTGTCGCCGCGCTCCTGGCCTCATCCTTCCGTCGTCCGGTGGGGAGACGTTTGAGGAGCAGGGGGGCCCGTTCACGGCAGAGACCCCAGCCCGGAGCCCGTGGTAGAGACATAGCTGGCTTCAGAGCGGCGTTTGCGGCAGTTGTAGAAGCAAAATACTTGTGTGTTTTGAATTACAGAGAGATGATTATTTTCTTCTCTCTCTCCTTTGTTTTTTAAGTCACCCTGACCCTGCTAGGAACCAAACTTAACAGATAAAGTCTTGAACAGTCCCTAAGTGCGGCTGACGGGCTTTCTCCTCGTTTCTCCGCAGGCAATATTAACGGCTGCCATCTGAACTATTACTTCTTTCTTCTGGCCGCGATTCAGGGAGCCACCCTCCTGCTTTTCCTGATAGTTTCTGTGAGGTACGACCAGCAGCGGTCGCGAGCCAACGGGGCGCCTGCCAGCAGGAGGACCTGACGTCCCCGAGGCCACAGCCAGTGGACTGAAGGCGGCCGTGCGCTGAGCAGGAGAGGCTTCTCCCACTTCCTGAGCACGCGCGTGTCCCTGGATTGTCTCCTCTTCTCCCAGATGAGCTGGGTAAGTGCCTTTCCGTGGTTCCCCTCCCGGAGCAGACGCGGGCTCCTCGTCCGGACCGCCGTGAACCCCTCGGACGGAAGCCCGCGGCGGAGCTGCCGGGGCCTCGGGAGACCGTGCGTGTCAGTCGGCGTCCTGATGTCTTGGACACGGGTTACCGTTTCCTCCCTGCAGACCATATGAGCTCACTTTTTTTTCCTTTTTGATTAATAAACATTTCCTTATCTTGAGGAATGTGAGGGCTTTTTAAGAGCTAAAAGTCGATGCCGCAAAGATCTTGTGTACAGGTCACGTTGACAGTTTCTTTCATAAGCCGCCAGTCCCACCATTGTCCTTGTCGGTGCGGGCTGGTGGTGAACATACTTCGTCTGCTGCTTCAGAAACAACTTCTCTTTTCAGCGATTGACATTGAATTTTTTTCTTAAGAAAGAATTCGCATCAGGAAATACTTAAGACCGTGTGTCCTATCTCAAGCTACAAAACAGCGTACAGGGTATTTGAAACCTCGCCTCGTCTGTCCTTCTGGGTCATTTCCTTCTGGACACCACTGAGGTTGAAGACCAGTCATGGAGGAACGTTAGGAACCGTGGCTTGGAACAGAATCCGTGTCACTTGAGACCGTTGGCAGTGTTCCACGTTACCTGTGGACTCGAGCTGTGTGATGTCACCGGCTTCTGGATTGTTCTTTATTGGACGCGGGGGCTCGAATGTTGTTAAATAAACTGTTGTCTGTCTGTTGCTGTATTTTCGGCGTAACTTTATTTTCAAAGCCCCTCAAATGTGAGACCCGTTAACTACTTCATGGGGGTCGCAAACTGCCACGTGGGGGGTACAGTTTCCCGAGTCAGCAGTTGACAAAAATTACAGTATCACCTGTTCCTGTCACAGCTCTTTGATTTCTCCCACATAGTGATTCTTGCACTTGCTCTGTATTAAAAGTTTTATATCTGGAGGAAGAAAACACAAAAACCCCTGCACTGTTGTTTGTTTGTAACACACAGTACAGAAAACGACAGGGAGATCCTGTGACTGGTGGAGTTCGGGCAGAGTGAAGACAAACAACTGTCCTCGGGGGGATTGATGCTGTGAGTTTGGGTTGAAAAGCACCAATCCCACAAATACAGATTCCACTAGAGATACAATTTATGTTTTCAGGATAGACTGAAAACTGTTAATCCATACTGTCAAAAATACGTTCTCTCTGTTGAAGAAGTAGTGAGGAAAGGGAAAAAGAAGGTCGAGTGATGGGTCCAGGCTGTCCCTGCCGTGTGCACGTCACGGTGTTCATGCCCCGGGCACGTGGAGGCGGGACGTGGGGTCCCTCCTAGGGGCCTCCCTGGGTCTCTGCAGGCCCCGTCCAAGAAAGTCTCCCAAGTTTGTTGGTGGACTGGCAAATCAGAGTGACAGCCTTGTAGTCTTCCAGCTGCCCTGAGGTTGTAGGTGATCGAGTTCACCCTATGGCACTAAGCAGTAATCGAGTAAAAAAATACACACACCCATGTCTGGTCGTGGGAGGTTTTTAGAAATGGTGTGCCCACCCTGAAGACTTGATGTGTCTTCAGCTTGTGTGTGTCGTCCTCGGAGAGCACACGTTTGAGCTCTGTTGGAAGACGCTCCACCTGCCTTTGTTGAATGAGGACGGGATGGGCTCTTTATTTCTCCCCAGTATCATGGGCAGATCCAGAGAGCAGGTTTTATAATAAGGTGGAGCTTTCCTACGTGAGCTTGTGGGAACAGAACCTTGTTCTGGTTTCAAGTGGACCTGTGACGCCTGTCCGTGGCGTGTGAGGATGGCCCTGTCTGTATGTCCTGCTGTTCCTCTGGAACCCGGGGGGCGGGTGGGGGGCACCCATGGGAGCGTCCCGCCACCTCACCAGGCAGAGGTTGAGATGCCCCTTGTTGATGGATCGAACGCATTACCCTCTCTATGTGACGTCACAGAGTTTCAAAATTACACCAGTCTCCAGTGGCTTCCAGATTCTCGGTGATACGGCTTGGATGCTCGTCAGTGCTACCGAATTGTTCCACTTGGTACAGAACGACCGCATCCCTTGAAAATCAAAGCACATTAAAGAGGAACAAAGTGCTGTCATAACCCGAAATTCCTGTGTACCACTAAGTGATTCACTATAACTAAAACAGGCCAAATGTTTTATGGGCACTTTTCGAGTCGAATGAAGTCATTTGAGTAGACGCTTGAGAATGTTTGTTGTAACACCTTGCTCCTTTGGAAACAGGGCTTTTTCGAGGAAACAGGACATAAAAAGTGCCTGATTGAAACAGAACATGTTAAATAAAGGACAAGTACAAAATAGAAAGCAAAGGGGGAAATAGTCACACGAGGCAAGGTTGCCTAACTGAAAAATCAGTGTTTGCTGATTTCCAGATGGGCCACCAGCCCAGGGCTCCTTGGAAGGGAGGCCAGCACAGTGCTGGGGGGTTAGCTCTGTCTTGTCCTACCGACTTAACCAGCCCTGCAAACCAGCGCTGCACGGGGGAGCAACTGAGTCACGGGCTCCAAGGGGGAGGGGAGGGGACCTGGCGGGAACCCCCTTGTTTCTCCTCTGCGCCATGCTGATTTTCCAGAGGCTTTGGGATCCAGCAAAACGGGTCAGAAGAGGAGCCGAGGAGGTGGCAGACCACCTGGTGTTTTCAAGAAGCGCACGATCGGCCCCTTGACATGCAGGACTGCCGCGGTCGGGGCTGAGTTGGACAGGCGTCTAGGACCCGTCCCTGGTACAGCCTCCGCCTCCTTCCCTAACTACCCCCAGGCCGGATCCCAGCTGCCCTCCACACTTGTTCTTAAAAACGGGTCAGGTTCTCAGCCATTAGTAACATCTGCAGAGCCCGAGTCTGGAGACGTGCCTAGACACGTCCAGAAGGGCTTCCTGCCTGCCTGATGACTCCTTGGGGTTGGAGATCCAGGTTTGGAGTCACCCGTGGGGAGGGGATGCTTGACGCCTGAGCTCGTGAGCCTCGGGGAGGAGGGACGTAGCCCTGGCCGCTCCCAGGATCTGAGGTCAAGGAGGTGAGGGTGGAGGGTGCTTCCCGCAGAGACCGCGCCTGCCCCACGTCTCTCCCGAGTGAGATGACCGCCCTCTGGGGAGTGGGAGCTCGGCTGCGGAGCACTGGGTGTGCAGGTGGACGAGGCGCCCGCTTGCCCTGCAGGGACCCAGAGGAGAGGGCCTGTCGCAGGGGCTGTGGGGCGGGGCTGGTCCTCAATTCTGTCCCTCCCTCCATCCGTCTTCGCGCCCTTCTTTCCATTTCTAGCTTCTCTGCTCCCCCGCCTTCTAAGGGCCAGGTAAAGGGAGGTCTCCGTGTTCATTCTCACTGTGTCTGGAGTGGAGAAACAAGCTGCACGAGGTGTCAGCATCTGCCTTAGGGGACATTAGGGGCACAGCAGAGCGCTGGACACGGAAGCGGTGTCCTCGCTGCCTCGGGTGGGCTGGGCTCGGGTCCCCTGAGTGGGAAGAAGAGTCAAGGTGGGAATGTTTGAAGGCCGCTCCCGTGTGGCAGGGCGCACGCCTGCACAGAGGGCCCCAGTCTGAGGACATGTCCGTGTCCTCTGTTGGCAAAAGCCTCAGGCAGAAATGCAAGGGGTGAAGGGTGCAGGAAACGCCGGGCGCCCCCCACACGTGCACATGCAGCCGTGAGGGCGTGAGAGCCCAGACGCTCCTCGTGGTAGAGCCACCTCTTGGGGCCTGTCCTGGTAGAGAAAGGCCTGGCTGCAGTGCTGGGGTGAATGGTGTCCCCCAAAAGTCATGTGCGTCCAGAGCCTGATTGTGGCCTTCCTAGAAATAGGATCGTGGCAGGTGGAATCAAGGGTGGGCCCTGGATCCAGTACAACTGTGTCCTCTTGGGCAGAGGGACGCTGGACATGGGCACCAGGGAGACAGAGGCCGGACTGAGGTGTCCACAGGCCACGGGAGGCCGAGGCTTGCCCGCCGCACCAGGGGCGGTGGGGCTCTCCCGCGGTGAGAGGGGGATTTCTGGTGTTTCAGACCCCCCACTCTGTGGGACTGGGCCACGCAGCCCCGTAAAATGAGTACGCAGGCCCCCACCTGGGCGGCTTCCCCCAGTGGAGACGGAACCTCTGACAGTTCCGCAGCCGAGAGAGCTGCATTCCCCTCCGGGGGCTCCCGGGAGAATCCAGGTTCTGGCCGTTTCCTTGCAGCTTTGGGCAGGCGCCCGCATCCCTCGACAGGGCCCCTCCCTCTGTCTGCCCAGCGGGCCACACAGCATCGCGCTGGCCGCCTCTTCCGCCGCCGCCTCCCACTCGTAAGGGTTCTCGTGGTGACGCCGGGCCGACCCGGGCGCTCCAGAACCGCGTCCCCTCTCAGAGCCAGCGAGTCGGTGCCCGCACAGTGTTGGGGTGTTTGCACGTGGACATATGTGGGGGCCGCTGCTCTGCCCGCTGCGTTGGCTGGCCGGCCACCCAGGGTCCAGAAGGTCGAAGCCACTTGCGCGAGCGAGGCTCTGACACGTTGCAGGAGAAGTTCCCAACACATCCAAGTACCGTCGCTTCCTCTAGGTCCGGTGGTGCTAATAGCCAACAAAATTAAAGATTTCTTGGCAGATCCAGACACGAATTTTTATGCTTCGTATTACTGCATACATTCACTCGGTGCAAACGTGGACAAGAACAAACTAGCATTTGAGGATCGGAATTAATAAATAAATCCCACGCTGGTGGGGCCCCCGATGCCAAGGAGACAAGCATGGTCCTGTCCACTTCCTTACTTCTCGTGTTCCGTCCGGGACTCTCGTTTCTCTTCATCCCATGTTCCCGAAGTCAAGAAAATTACAGCAGGCCATTTATATCGATGGAGAGTTAAACGTTTACTCTGCTTATTAAGGCGTATTAAACAGTGCAGCCCCAGCTAGGGGCCCATCTCTGCCAGACAGAACCCTCATCCGCACGGCCACTCTGCAATCTAGAATCCATTGGGGAACTCGGGAAGAGGAGCTCGGGGCTGGCACTGAGTGACATCGTGAAGCAAAAATGGGCTGAGATGGTCACGGTTTCCCGCTCTCACTGTCTTTCTGGGGGGAGGGCTTGGCGTCCACGGGGAACCAAGGAGAGAGGACAGGAAGTGTGCCAGGAAAGGGAGTTTCCTTACAGAGAGGTGGACCCTTGAGTGTTAAACTTTATTTGGGGGGCACACAGGCTTCTGACATTTTTTGTTTTGTTTTTGGTTTTACTGAGATACAAAGGCATCATGACGTGCTCTTTTTTTTTTTTTTTTAAGATTTTATTTATTTATTTGACAGAGACACAGCGAGAGAGGGAACACAGCAGGGGGAGTGGGAGAGGGAGAAGCAGGCTTCCCGCGGAGCAGGGAGCCCGATGTGGGGCTCGGTCCCAGGACCCTGGGATCATGACCTGAGCCGAAGGCAGACGCTTAACGACTGAGCCACCCAGGCGCCCCGACTCTTCCTAATTTATTTTTATTTTTATTATTTTTTTAAAAGATTTTATTTATTTGACAGAGAGAGACACAGCGAGAGAGGGAACACAAGTAGGGGGAGTGGGAGAGGAAGAAGCAGGCTTCCCGCAGAGAAGGGAGCCCGATGCGGGGCACGATCCCAGGACCCTGGGATCATGACCTGAGCTGAAGGCAGACGCTTAACGACTGAGCTACCCAGGTGCCCCCATGATAGGCTCTTTAGATGTCCTGCAATTGGTATTTGCCAGATAGACCCCTACGTATTGATAAGGCCCCTTCTTCCTGAAACTACA